TCCTCTAAATACATCAGCATGGAGACCCCCTCCTATCTCAAGATACAGATTCAATGAAACCAACCACCATACAATTCACAATCACCTTGATACAGAGATAAAATCACTTAATCAAAGCCGGACTATCTTTGAAATGAAGACGAAATTGATCATTGTTAATATCTCTTGTGTGGCGATACAACATCTGACAGAACAAACTCCTATTTCAATAATAAACCAAATTTATTGCTACAACTTATTCCGAAGGCTCGAAAACAAATTGATTACTCAGCAATACTTCATGAAAGATAAAATTCAATGAAAAATTCATTATATAAGAGCCCCAATCGGTGCACTACAGGACACGGGTAATCTAAAAGCATGCTATTTACTGTCTGATTGTCATCCTAGCCATATGAAACATGACTTGATAGGCATAGAAGGTCGGATATATTTAACTCCTTGGAAAAGTTAAAAAGGATCACTGACCCCTCGAAGAACAAGATGTCCCATATATAATGTATTATAGCCTTGTACTGAGATTAGCTTTGATGCATATAGAAAAATTAGGCCTAATATGGAGAGTGTACTTGGACTAATATGGTGATTGTTCCTTACCAAATATGGAGAGTGTACTTGACCTAATATGGTGATTGTTCCTTACCAAATATGGAGAGTGTATTTGACCTAATATGGTGATTGTTCCTTACCAAATATGGAGAGTGTACTTGACCTAATATGGCGATTGTTCCTTACCTTAAATATGGAGAGTGTTCTTTACCCTAATATGGTGATTGTTCTTTACCTAATATGGAGATTGTACTTGACCAAATATGGTGATTGTTCTTTACCTAATATGGAGATTGTACTTGACCAAACATGGCGATTGTTCTTTACCTAATATGGCGATTGTACTTTACCCAATATGGCAATTGTTCTTTACCTAATATGGAGATTGTACTTGACCAATATGGCGATTGTTCTTTACCTAATATGGAGATTGTACTTGACCAAACATGGCAATTGTTCTTTACCTAATATGGAGATTGTTCTTGACCTAATATGGCAATTGTTCTTTACCTAATATGGAGATTGTACTTGACCCAATATGGCAATTGTTCTGTACGTAATATGGAGATTGTACTTGACCTAATATGGTGATTGTTCTTTACCTAATATGGAGATTGTACTTGAACTAATATGGCGATTGTTCTTTACCTAATATGGCAATTGTTCTTTACCCAATATGGCGATTGTTCTTTACCTAATATGGCGATGTTTTTCATCATACTATCCTTGTACAATCAGTACAAAGCAAACTTTCACTTATAATCTCTTCGTGTTTCCATTTAATCTCTTCCTGAAACACAACAGGTTCAACCTCAATCCCACATCATATCTAAACTCATCATCAAATTCCATTTTCGGATTCTTAAAAGCAGCATTAGCTTTGAAATATTTTCACAAGATAACATAGTCTGATTTCATTATCTTTAAAGATAAGCTGGAAACATCCTTATCTGAAATCATCAACTCAGTGTTGATTGTCAGTATCTCATGAATAAATCCAAAGATTGTCCTGCATTCAGAGATACATTTACATAAGCTGAAAGGTCATGGAAGTCATATGTTTTAACAGTCTCATAATATTCAGCCAAAGGCAATAAGTACTGCTTTCACGTCAACTCATCATTATAGTGATAAGAACTTATTTTATCTTATTTGAGCTAGATTACTTTCAAGTCTTGTGATATTTGCTGACTGATGATCATCAGTAGTTCTACACAGGAGACCTAATAATGTACATGATTATGATGACTTAATGGGATGATCCAGAAGGTGTAACAATCACAGATAACCCAGAAAGATGACCACAGGGATTCACAAGATGTCGCCGGGGCGACAGGGTAGCCTAGTGGTTAAAGCGTTCGCTCGTCAGGCTGAAGGCCCGGTTCGATTCCCCATATGGGTACAATGTGTGAAGCCCATTTCTGGTGTCCCCCGCCGTGATATTGCTGGAATATTGCTAAAAGCGGCGTAAAACCATACTCACTCACTCACTCACAAGATGTCGCCACTGTGTCACCAACATAGTTTCCATGGGTTTCACCCAGAGGGGATTCCACAGGCGCTATCCACAGGATTTCCATTAGTGTTACCCAAAGGGATTTCCACAGGATTTCCAGACTAGTCAACCTAGTGTTTAATATGCATCTGTCTCTACAACTGGGATACTATGACATGTGTCAACCAAGTCAGCGAGCTCGACCACCGATCCGATTAGTTGCCTCTTACCACAATCATGACCTGCTGCAGACCTATTTGAACAGACCTTCACGGTTCTCCTACAAATGACAGTGATATAACACCTGCCATGTACTAATGTCAAAGTTAAACAAACATGATAGCTAGACATATTATCTCATTACCACTGTCAGAAGTTACCCCATCTTAACTCAAGAAATCAATTCGACACCAGATTTGAACTACAGCATCTAAAGTTACAAACTGTTGCTGTAAAATGCTTCTCACTCTCATTTTAAATTGTGTTGATTGCGAGAGTGGCTTCTTCGATTTCCTCCACCTTCATGCCTGAGAACCATTAAGCTATTGATGGCCGCCCATCAGTATTTGAAAGCACACTTTAGTCGCAGCTCCGGGGTAATTAGCCCCCTTCAAGCACCTGCCCCCATTTCACCTGTTCCCATTGATGAATCATTTATTTCAGCTGACGCTAAGTCTTAATTATTGCAGTTTGAAGAGCCATTGAAGATTCACTGGTCCTTAAAAATAACAATGGATAAAACGTCTGATTGACAGAAGTATACTCTTGGTTCTGACTCATTAACCTGGACAAGGACATGGACAAGGACATGGACAAGGACATGCAGTCCAGTTGTTGAAGCTCACAGCATAAATTTTCGAAATTTGAAATGAGTTCACACAAAAACAGTTTGTACCAGGACATTACATAACTACATTAAAGCAGAGGTTTGTTTATGAGGGACTGGTTGGTGAAAAACGGGTGCTTCACATGCTATAATACCCGATTTGTTAACATTCACCACATACACAGTTGGAGGCAAGTCCTCCTCCTCCTTGTCATCATCATCGTCATCATCACCATTAGCAGTCATCATCATCATCATCATCATCATCATCATCAGGAGTGTAATTATACATCAGACTATCAATGTATTGTAATGGTTTGCTGTCATATTTTGATAGGAATTTTTAAAAGTCCAAAAGCATTGTTGTTAGTATGAACAACAACTGATAGTTGCTATAGTTACAGTTGGTTACGAATTTCAGACCTTTTTGTGAGTGGATAACCAAGAATGACAACAACTTCATATTAGAGTTACTTCCCTTTAATTTGAGAATCAGTCTGGAGAAAAATGGCCAACTTAATCATTTCTGTTTCACTGATTCACAGAATTATCAGGTGTGGTGTTGGGGTAGCCTAGTGGTTCAAGCGTTCGCTCATCATGCCGTAAACCTGGGCTCATTTCCCAAAATGGGTACAGTGTGTGAAGCCCATTCGTGGTGTCCCCCACCGCGATGTTGCTGGAATATTGCTAAAAGCGTGTTACTAAGGTTTCCATATTTCTGTCAACCAGTTTTAATCAAGGTAATATGCGTAAAATAATACAACCTATTATGTGAAAGGAGAAACCAAAGCCATGTCTATTGATACCAGGGATGGCTAAAATATCTCTATGGTGGACAACATTGGTGAAAGATGGAAATCTTATGGTTTAACACTGAGCATGACCAGGCAAAAGTTCCCAGCAAAAGTGGCACTCTGTATCAATCGTTTGTTTTTTGATGCTACACTCAGCACGTTTTGGTACCCTGCAGTGTAGTCATGGTAACAACAGACTTGTACATTGGTGCATTGTTCTGATGAAACATCAAACCTTTAGTGAGTTTTCCACAACATTTAGCCTTGATATTCTCACACAATTATGGACTCCTTGCTTCATACTGGCAGTTAAACCTATGACCTTTCATGGTTTCTTCAGATATCACAGAAAACCAAGACATCGCCTTGCGGAAACAGTCTTTGTCTTCTTCATCAGAGGAGACGTTTCCATTTTTGTTCACAACTATTTAGTCATTGACAGTGGTGGACCCACAGTTGTTCGGCCATTTATAGTAGTGAACCCATAATTATAATTACTCATTCATAGTGGTGAATCCACACTTTTTTAGTCATTCATAGTGGTGAACCCAGACATATAAAAACAAGTCACTCAACAAACTCACAAGGTCTGCTTCAAAGCGACATAAATTATCACAGTAGATAATAAACCTTGAAGTACTTCTAATCTGGAATCAGAAGCCTTGGAACTCTGTACTGAACCTTTGTCGTTCCCAGTTCCTGCCTCATCTCTCTCATGGAGACGCCAACTCTAGTGACTACGTGAAGTGGTAAGTCGATTATCAATAATTCATTTTATGAATATATTCCTTAGTACACAGTGACAGTTGAGGGTAATCCTGATATTGGCTCATCTTCAAGACTCTCTTCCATTCTTAAACCCCCACCAGTTGACAATGGCACATGGAGACACTTGACGACAACACGGAAGGCAATTTTGGCCAGTTTCATCAACAGAGAATAACAAGTCAGTTGGTCTTGGTTCTTATACTCCAAATTCTCTGAATTCTACACTTTCGTAACTGTATATGACAGTAGGTAAGCCAATCTCATAGATAAGCAATGGCCTTAACTTGGAACCTGTAGAAAAGCCGACCCCCCTTCAACAGGTTTTTGGCATCCTTCGGGTTATCTATGGTCATATACGGTACTTGTCTTTGATGAGATGTCCCAAAGTTAAAGAGAGAAATAACAAACCAAACACGATCAGAAGCAGGATTTGTCTTCTACTCCAAACTGAGCGCCTTTGTCAAGCAAAGTGGAAGTATATGGGCTGAACACGTGTTGTCAAATCAACCTGCTGAATGTAAATAAATTCATGGTATCTACACCCCTCCCCAGAAGATTAAACGTGACTTACCTCCCCTGGTTTACTTTTCGCCACTTGGCGTTCGAGCTGGAGCCTCTCTTTGGCAGCTTGTTTGATGATTGTGACGAGCTCTTCCTTTTCCTCATAAACTTGGATATTCTGAAAACATTTTTTTAAGGTGAACATAAATATTTGAAAAAAGCAGTAGGATTTATGCTTGTTGTTCAATGATGTACCCAATAATATTCCAGCAATATGGCAGCAGCCTGAAAATCTTCAAATCTGGACTTGACATTATGTGATCGATATCATGAACACATCCCATGATAATGCAAATATGTATAATGCATTTGTTGAGCCCCTAATATCCACCCCAATGATGAATTATTCACAAAGCGCACACATTATTACACCAGTTAACCCAAGCTGAGATGCTAGACTGACTGACTGAGTTTGGTTTTACGCCACTTTTAGCAATATTCCAGCAACATCACGGCAGGGGACACCAGAAATGGGCTTCACACATTGTACCCATGTGGGGATTCGAACCCGGGTCTTCGGCGCGACGAGCCAACGCTTTAACCATTAGGCTACCCCACTGCCCCCTGAGAAGCTAGAAGGTTAATACACCAGCTTATCCCACTTGGTACCCATTCACTGCTGGGTGAACGAACGCACTTGTTGATGCGTTATGATCAACAATTCAACCCAGTCACTATGCCTGTCCGATCCATGAGCTATAATATCACCTCTTATGACAAACATGTTGGCATACTCAACTTTAACAAAAAGCGAAAAAGTTTATTCAATCCATCCAATGGTGGATAAAAGTAGTTGCAAAAAGGTACAAATACATTGGCAAGGAATCAGTGTCTGTGTGGTGTGTCCATGTGAAACTCGACCACCTCCGTAGTGTTGTGATTAGAGAGTCCGCACGGAGAGCGGAAGGTCGCGGGTTCAATCCCGGGCGCGTCATACCAAAGACGTTAAAATATGGTACTTGTTGGTCCCTTAGTGGCGCTCAGCATTAATGGAGTAGGCTCAGAGTGAGCATAATGTGTCTGAGTGGGGTATCCATGCTTAACTGCTCATGGTATCTCAGTGGGCTAGCACTATAAAACCAGCTTAAGTCTGGGCTAGTTCAAGCAGCCGCACATACACATACACACACATGCACGTCGTCATATGAGCGAATATTTCTTAAGTACGATGTTAAACCCAATTTCACCTTAAACTGTGTCATGGTATCCTGATGGTCTAGCACCATAGGACTGACAGAAGTTACAGGCACACATGGAAGCCATGGATGCATTAAGCATTAAGCCATGGATGCTAGGGCTGCGCAATATAACCGGTTTACCGGTATTTACTGGTTCAGACCTGAAAACGATAACTATTGCAATACGCTGATCAAAAACAGATATTTTGACATGCATTCGGAAAACTTCGTAACACTCGTAAATCTGACACTTCCTTGTTTCATTTGTGCCAAATATTAATTACATTTTTATTTTGTCATGATTAAAAGTTTTTATTAAAGCTTAATCAAGCACAGTGATTTTGTTGTGTTTTTGCTTTATAAATCAAGCATTAACTCGATTATAATTAGTTTTTTGTTAAAAAAAATAATTCTTGCAATATATTGCAATACATATCACAATATATGCTTTCGCATCGCAAAATATCGCAATATGAAAATTCTCTCCAATACCGGCTCTAATGGATGCATTAAGCCATGGATGCAGGCACAGTTACATATGCACTCATGTCACTTTATAAGTGCAATAACTTTAAACCCTACTTCACCTCACTGTCTCCGACCTACAAACCTTCACTTAATGCAGTGTTCAGATCACTGAAACTTTAACAAGCTAAATGTAACCTAAACAATATGAATGGCCACTCTTTTACATCAGAATCAAATAAAACCATTTCCCTTCTCACTGAAACATTCTCATGGAATTATTTGCAAGATTGGAGAGCTTTTTTCTCATTAAATGGAAAAACTCTTGCTTAATGGATGCAATCCAACAACTCACATCAAAGGTAATTCAAGATTCATGGTAATTCATAAAACTGCAAGATTGATGTAATATTAATCGTTTATCACAGATGGAATATGCTCTTGCAGTTTGGCTGAATAACCACTTGATGAGGAAACAAAGCTTGAACTAAAAACACATTGAATGAAACAAGTTAAATTTGGTCATTATTTGAACATATGACAAAGCGGTTTGTCTGTTTTACCCGATATTATCATAAAACTATTTCATTCAGTACAACTAAAACCAATAAAGGTCCAGGTTAGACTTGGTCGAGGCGACCCACACTTGTTGACCGAGGGGACAAACGAGATCGGGTGGTCAGACTCTCTGACTTGGTTGACACATGTCATCGTATCCCAATTGCGTATATCGATGTTCATGATGTTGATCACTGGATTGTCTGGTCCAGACTCAGTTAAACTGCCATCATACAGCTGGGAAAAGGCGGGGAGTGGTGTTCACAACAAACAAACAAGATTAATATATATCTTTAAATATACAGTACAAAACAATTCCTGTGTGAGTGAGTGAGTGAGTTTAGTTTTATGCCGCTTTTAGTAATATTCTAGCTATATCACGGCGGGTGGACACATTGACACATTGTACCCATGTGGAGAATCGAACCCAGGACTTTGGCGTGACAAGCAAACGTTTTAACCACTAGGCTACACCACAGCCCCATGAGTTAATTGAGATGACAGATTAAAACTAGCTGTTGGGGTTTATTAGAGTTTAAAATTTTGAACAGCATTACAGTTATACGACAGTCTGCTTGATGTGGAAGAAAAGTGATACATATCTCCAATGTTCAAACCTATGCTGACATACCTAGACTCAATCTGAGTCAACTGGGATTCAAATCAACAATCTTAGGTCATGGGGATTCAAATCAACAATCTTAGGTCATGGGGATTCAAATCAATAATCTTGGGGCACAGGGGATTCAAATCAATAATCTTAGGTCATGGGGATTCAAATCAATAATCTTAGGTCATGGGGGATTCAAATCAACAATCTTAGGTCACAGGGGATTCAAATCAATAATCTTGGGTCACAGGGGATTCAAATCAACAATCTTAGGTCATGGGGATTCAAATCAACAATCTTAGGTCACAGGGGATTCAAATTAACAATCTTAGGTCATGGGGATTCAAATCAATAATCTTGGGTCACAGGGGATTCAAATCAATAATCTTAGGTCACAGGGGATTCAAATCAACAATCTTAGGTCATGGGGATTCAAATCAACAATCTTAGGTCGTGGGGATTCAAATCAATAATCTTAGGTCACAGGGGATTCAAATCAATAATCTTGGGTCACAGGGGATTCAAATCAACAATCTTAGGTCATGGGGATTCAAATCAATAATCTTTGGTCACAGGGGATTCAAATCAATAATCTTAGGTCACAGGGGATTCAAATCAATAATCTTAGGTCATGGGGATTCAAATCAACAATCTTAGGTCATGGGGATTCAAATCAACAATCTTAGGTCATGGGGATTCAAATCAATAATCTTAGGTCACAGGGATTCAAATCAATAATCTTGGGTCACAGGGGATTCAAATCAACAATCTTAGGTCACAGGGGATTCAAATCAATAATCTTAGGTCATGGGGATTCAAATCAATAATCTTGGGTCACAGGGGATTCAAATCAACAATCTTAGGTCATGGGGATTCAAATCAATAATCTTGGGTCACAGGGGATTCAAATCAATAATCTTAGGTCACAGGGGATTCAAATCAATAATCTTGGGTCATGGGGATTCAAATCAACAATCTTAGGTCATGGGGATTCAAATCAACAATCTTGGGTCACAGGGGATTCAAATCAACAATCTTAGGTCATGGGGATTCAAATCAATAATCTTGGGGCACAAGGGATTCAAATCAACAATCTTAGGTCATGGGGATTCAAATCAATAATCTTGGGTCACAGGGGATTCAAATCAATAATCTTAGGTCACAGGGGATTCAAATCAATAATCTTGGGTCATGGGGATTCATATCAACAATCTTAGGTCATGGGGATTCAAATCAATAATCTTGGGTCACAGGGGATTCAAATCAACAATCTTAGGTCATGGGGATTCAAATTAACAATCTTAGGTCATGGGGATTCAAATCAATAATCTTGGGTCACAGGGGATTCAAATCAACAATCTTAGGTCATGGGGATTCAAATCAATAATCTTGGGTCACAGGGGATTCAAATCAATAATCTTAGGTCACAGGGGATTCAAATCAATAATCTTGGGGCACAGGGGATTCAAATCAATAATCTTAGGTCTGAGGATTCTCAATAATCTTGGGTCATGGGGATTCAAATCAATAATCTTGGGTCACAGGGATTCAAATCAACAATCTTAGGTCACAGGGTCAAATCAGGGTCACAGGGGATTCAAATCAATAATCTTAGGTCACAGGGGATTCAAATCAACAATCTTAGGTCATGGGGATTCAAATCAATAATCTTAGGTCATGGGGATTCAAATCAACAATCTTAGGTCATGGGGATTCAAATCAACAATCTTGGGTCACAGGGGATTCAAATTCAAATCAAATCAACAATCTTAGGTCACAGGGGATTCAAATCAACAATCTTAGGTCACAGGGGATTCAAATCAAATCAACAATCTTAGGTCACAGGGGATTCAAATCAAATCAACAATCTTAGGTTTTGGGATTCAAATCAATAATCTTGGGTCACAGGGGATTCAAATCAACAATCTTAGGTCATGGGGATTCAAATCAACAATCTTAGGTCATGGGGATTCAAATTAACAATCTTGGGTCACAGGGGATTCAAATCAACAATCTTAGGTCATGGGGATTCAAATCAACAATCTTAGGTCATGGGGGATTCAAATCAACAATCTTAGGTCATGGGGGATTCAAATCAACAATCTTAGGTCATGGGGGATTCAAATCAAATCAACAATCTTAGGTCACAGGGGATTCAAATCAAATCAACAATCTTAGGTCACAGGGGATTCAAATCAACAATATTGGATCACAGGGCTTAGATGGACTTCCACATGATTCTTGATTCATTCCTCTTCCTTTAACTAAAATTTGGAATCAGTTATAAAAACAAAATATATATATAACCAGTAAAACATTAAACTTTCAACACAAATTCGTCACCGACAATTCGTAATAAACAAACCCAAAATTTTATGTTACCTTAATAAAGGTACATCTTCTTGCAAGATGTTGCCAGTATGGCTGAAATGACATTACCCTATCAGGCTCAGAAATGAAGCACTATTTTCCTTTTTATGTCAAATAATATCAATCTTGTCTCAAAAGCTGATAACTTTGACATTTCTCTCCTACTAATAAAAGTATAATTATTGTCAGTTCCTGATGCGAGAATTCCAGAATTTGGTTTGACATTTCTTGATTCTCACATGAAACATGGCTCTTTTGTCTTTGATTGTACATTAAGTAATTGACTTTTAGATACCGCCTGGCAATGATGGAACATTTTTCCCCCCGTTTAAAATGTAATTTCAACAGTGTTGGTTATTAGAATGTTTGTTGACCATGGCTTGACTAGGCTAGTGCAAGTAGGATCCTAACTATTTCAACGAACAGAAACCAGGTTGGAGTGCCCTAACATAAGCCGTACATCGTAGTTAACTCTTAGTGCAGACCAATTTTATTTCTTGTTTTACAGATTGTCCTCAGAAAACCTAAAGGCAGGAGGGAAAAAAAATAAAAATAAAAATCACCAGTCAAAGTAATATTCCTTTAAAACACTACAAGTATTCTATTGTAGGCAATTATGAAGTGTATATGGGACAAAAAACAATCCAAAACAATCCTTTTTGTAAGTTTACATTTTTGGCCAATAAAAACATGAGGATTTTATTTCTTGAGTGGGGTCATTTTTTTTTCTTTCTCATTCTTGAAAAAAAGAAATAAATAAAATTGGCCTGGCCTTATATTATGTCAAAATGGCAGTTTGGACTATGATATATGTTGCTTGGTCTTGATGTTTGTTTGTTGTTCAATACGGCACTCAGCGATATTCCAGCCATACAGTGGTGGTCTGTAAATAATCAAGTCTGAACCAGACAATCTAGTGATCAACAGCATGAGCATCGATCTACGAAACTGGGATATAATGACCTGTGTCAACAAGTCAGAGCCTGATCACCCGATCCCGTTAGTCGCCTCGTACGACAAGCATGGGTTGTTGAAGACTAATTGTAACCCGGATCTTCACGGGTTGTTCGGGCCTGTGACACACAGTCAGGGTGGTTAGGTAACCTAGTGGTTAAAGCATTCCCTTGTCATGCAGAAGACCCAGGGTCAATTCCCCACATGGGTACAATGTGTGAAGCCCATTTCTGGTGTCCCCCTCCATGATATTGCTACAAGCGGCGTAAAACCATACTCGCACTCTGACTATAACACACATACACATAGTGTCCACCCAATCCTCATCAAGTCTGACATCCTGGGCCTAGATTTTCGAAGCTCTCTTAGCGCTAAGATAGTCGTAAGTGCCATACATTAACTTACGAATATCTTAGGGCTAAGAGAGCTTCGAAAATCAAGACCCTGGGTCAGAATTCTGCACTGAATTTTCTCAGATTCTATGGTCACAACATGGCTGTTTTCTGTGTATCAGAACAGAGATTTTCTTTGTTTAGACAGCTGGAGACCAAATCTTTCTGTATACCCAAACCCAAACCATTCGAAGACTATGCATATGCTAAACACTCCCCAGTCCCCTGATGTGCATTGTTGTATGGCTATTGATTTAATTGATCGGCAAATGTCTTGTGAAATCAGCGTAAGTTACACAGAAAGGCACTCTGTATCCAACTATGTTTATCATTATTGGTGGGACCTATTCCCACTACTGTCTGGGGGTGGGTTAGCCTAGTGGTTCATGTGTTCACTTGGCATGCTGAAGGTCCAGGTTTGACTCCACACATGGTACAATTTTACAAATATTTCATAAAACAAGAGACATCTTAGTTGTGTTCTTGAATAAAAGAGTAACATCAAGATTTTTGGCTATTTATTTTTCATTTTTAAGTGGCTTTCCCTCTAAAACTGAGCACAGAGGAGAAACTTAACAAAATTATATGGACAGCTTCATGGTTGACTAGATTTTAACAGGCATAAATATCCTATCTCATTGGTCTCTTATAGAAGTAAAGTTTTTGTTACCATCAAAGTTACATTTATTCAGTGACTATGCCTTAGAATTCTGCCTCAAGATGTCAGTCATATAGTTTTACATGAGGCTCATCTCCATGCTCAGCTTTTGTCGAAAGCCACTTGTAAAAAATGACAAAGAAAACTGCCCAAAATCCTGCCTTTAGTCAAGAAGCAACTGTTAAGATGCACCCATGAAGATCCGGGATAGAATTGATCTTCAGTAACTAAAGCAACTAACGGAATTGGGTGGTCAGATTCACTGACTTGGTTGACACATGTCATTGGTTCCCAATTTCGCAGATCAATGCTCATGCTGTTGATCACTGGATTGTCTGGTCCTGACACGATACCACCATATAGCTGAAATATTGATGGATGCGGCGTAAAATAACTAACCAAATCAAACCCAAAACTGATAAGATGTGTGTTGTATAAAATATTGGTAACATGATTTACAATTTGAAGCTTGATTTCAAAGAAACCACAACTGTTAAAATTTTTTAAAAATACACATGCACTTGCAATGGAAAGCCTAAAATTAAAACTGTCTAAAGTCTATATATAGATGTCTGTCCTTTGATATGAAACAAGATTTCTCAGTTTGGGTTGTTTAATAACACTCGAAACAAGTTAAGAACACCCACAGCTAGATGGCTTAGTGCACACAGCTTCACTTACCTCCGGTATAAGATACTCTCCATTGCTGAGCTGATCAGCGAGTTCTTGACATTTTTTGCGTAGATCCTCGATCTCTCGATCTTTCGTCAGCATGCTCTTGGTATGGTCTGCAAGGTCTTTTGCTCGTTGTCGAGCAAAAAGTCGTTTGAGCTGGTCTGAATCGGGAAGACCTTCTTCTTTTGTTTTCTGTTATTAGAAATAGAGAGGTCTTTTTTGTTATTGCAGACTCACAAGTCACAGAAATCGTATTATTGGTGCACAAAATTGATGCAGGAAATATACGACATTGGTGAAACCCAAAATAATTGATAATGAATGCACTTTAGTAATATGTGCCGGCTTAATGTGTTCATAGGACAGTGGGTAGCCTAGTGGTTAAAGCGTCACTCATCACGCCGAAGATCCGGGTTTGATTCCTCACATGGGTACAATGTATGAAGCCCATTTCTGGTGTCCCCCACTGTGATACTGGTGGATTATTGCTAAAAGCAGCGTAAAAACCTTACTCACTACTGTTTTCACATCTCTCCAAACTTTTACCAAACAAAATATTTTAGGGATCGTGAACATTTTGGGAATGTTTTTTGTACCGATGTCGCAGCACACAATGTCATAAAAAAATCACCCAAAAATTTCATGATCCCTAAATTTTCTCAGTTTAATATGTAATAAGCAATTATGATTACATAGTTACCTCCCTTAACTCCCAAACAGCGATGAGTTCATTTTTTTTGTGCTGCTCGAAAGTTTGTAGCCATATACAGAATCAAACCTGGACTTTAACAATCGATTTCCCATGACTCCATGAAATTACCCAAGCCATCTACAGAAGCAAAGATAATTGGTGAGTGAGTATGGTTTTAAGCTGCTTTTAGCAATATTCCAGCAATATCATGCCGGGGTACACCAGAAATGGGCTTAAAAAATTGTACACATGTGGGGAATCGAACCTGGGCCTTCGGTGTGACATGCGAACACTTTAACCACTAGGTTACCCCACCTCCCCAGAGACAAAGAAAATTTTGACGTGTAAGGTTATAGAATTGTGTGTCATTGCCCGATACTCAGTAATATATTCCTGTCATTGAGTAACACATTTCAGCAATTTTGTAGCAGCCTGTAAAAAAAGTCTAGCAAATCAGTGGTTGACAGCAAGAGCAACAAATAAACCACACCACTGATATTCACTGTTACCATCCAATCTTTGCTGGTAGTCAAGGCAACAATGAGTGTCATGAGCCTATTTGACCCAGGTGAGGTGAGGTGAAATTGGGTTTAACGTCATGCTTGAGAATATTTCGCTCATATGACGACGTGCATGCGTGTGTATGTGTATGTGCGGCAGCTTGTACTAGCCCAGACTGCAGCTGGTTTTATAGTGCTAGCCCACTGAGATACCATGCTGCAGTGAAGCATGAATACCCCACTCAGACACATTATACTGACTCCGAGCCGACCAGTCTTTGTTGTATCCATTAATGCCGAGCGCCAGGCAGGGACCAACAAGTACCATATTTTAACGTCTTTTGGTATGACGCGGTCGGGGATCGAACCCGCGACCTTCCGCTCTCAGGGCGGATGCGCTAACCACTACACCACGGAGGCGGTCCTATTTGACCTAGAATTCCCCTAGCAGACATTATCTGACCTATTGCAATAACTAAACTGCTATGTACCACAATTTCATAACGCAGCCAGGTCTCAACAGGAAGCAGTCCCCAAGTTGTCTCCCCTTGATATACCCTTTACCTGCCACCTAATCTCCCTTTCAGCTGATATAATTTAGGTCTAAAATGACTTCTGAGTTTAACAAATAATAATAAAAACTATTTCAGACTTTTTCATCAACCGTTTTTGTTAACAGATTCAAAAGCAACTAACATAAAGGTGATAAAATCACAGAAAGACAGGCGACCAAAATCCCCAGAACATCACATCATGGTCTCTTGACCTTTCACCAAGTTCATCCTCCTCGTCAAGGCTCGAAAGACTGACTGACTGAGTTTGGTTTTACACCGCTTTTAGCAATATTCCAGCAACATCACGACAGGGGACACCAGAAATGGGCTTCACACATTGTACCCATGTGGGTATTCGAACCCGGGTCTTCGGCATGACGAGCCAACGCTTTAACCATTAGGCTACCCCACTGCCCCTCAAGGCTCGAAAGAGCATAAATAGTTCAAAGCCAAGCATCTAAAGACAAATAAGTGTTTTATTATTTTCTAACCTTTGTATTTTCTTGCTGCAAATGTTTGGCCTTCTCTTCCAGCCTCCGTGCAATGGCCGCCAGCTCAGCATTGCGTTTCTTGAGGGCCTTGATCTTTTCTTCCAGTGGTTTGTGGTCATCTTTCTGCTTCCTCTGTAACATTGAGTGAGTGAGTTTACTTTTATGACGCTCTTAGCAATATTCTAGAAATACCATGATGCGGACACAACAGAGAGGCTTCACCGATGTGGCCTCTGCAAGAGTGAGAGAGTTTAGTTTTATGACACTCTTAGCAATATTCTAGAAATACCATGATGCGGACACCACAGAGAGGCTTCACCGATGTGGCCTCTGCAAGAGTGAGTCAGTGAGTGAGTGAGTTTAGCAATACTCCAGCATAAGCTCAGTGGGAGACAGTGTAAATGGGCTCTGTAAACAGACCAGGAAGTAGTTTGAAACAACAATCACAGGACTGTCACTGTTCATGTCTACAGTATTGCCATTTTCAAAAGATTGTTGAAGCTGAGATGTATTATTGTCAGAAGTAATATAAATGAATATAAACGTAAAAATAAAGTGGCATCAGTTTCTATTTATTTCAGTCTGATTTCAAGATTGCTTATACAAATGTTACTTGTAGGAGATAACAAGTGAGTTTTACAGACATTTTGTTTTAAAACACAGTAATCTCAAAATAATTCTGTGTGAATGACATATAGGAGGAATTTTACATAGTGTGTGTGTGTGGGGGAGGAGAGAGAATATCTGTGATCCTACAAATCAAACATAATGATTGGCCTAATGTCCAACACACAAAACTCATCACTTGATATCACATTGACATCATTTGTGGCATAATAATAATCTCAATAGAAAAATCATCATAAAATTGGCAAAACACATTTTTATATGTGGATTTTACATTTTTTGCTTACCAATTAGCTATCTAAACATGAAACTATTTTTTCATAACTTCGTACTTGTTTGTGATAAGAGTTTCACAGTTACTTCCAGCCCTCTCTTTCTTTGACATATGGTTACAAATGTTAAAGAAGATAGTATTTTTGTATTTTGTCTCTGAGCTCCTCCAACTTCTACATTCCTGTCAGAGACAAGACTCAATCAGTTCATTAAGGTCAGACCGGTGAAGACCCAGGGTAGAATAGGTCTTCAGCAGCCCATGCTTGCCACAAAAGGCGACTATGCTTGTCGTAAGAGGCGACTAATGGGATCGGGTGGACAGGCTGGCTGACTTGGTTGACACATGTCATCGATGATCGATGCTCATGCTGTTGATCACTGGATTGTCTGATCCAGACTCAAATTATTTACAGACCACCACCATATAGCTGGAATATTTCTGAGTGTGGCGTAAAACTAAACTCACTCACTCACTATAAAGGTCAAAATATGGTTAAGTAAGAAAAATATTCACCGAGTGCAGCATTGGTTTGGTCGGTTAAGTGATAAAAATACATGCTGATTTTGTGCAGATTTGGTTTGGATAGTTAATGAAAAATAAACACTGATTTTGTACAGGACGTTTAACAAAGCAATATTACAGTAAAAAGTACTCATAATGCAGAAGTCTGATGATTTATCAACAAATTGTGGACAAGTTGCAGTAGTTATTATTTTAATATTGTTGTTGTATCTTTCTATTCTTGAAGTCCACCAAAATAGAATGATCAATCAAGAAAATTGATTTGAACATTTTCCGTGTTTCAGGGATTCTTGCCATGAAAACTTTAAACCTGTCAACATAAAATGGTTACTGTTTTGATAAATGGCAATAAAGGAGACCAAACAAAGTGTTATGGGAAATATCCTGAAATATATAATTAAGCTTTGGTGAAGGTTACAACAAGAAATGAATGATTTTATGTTACTTCTTGCAATGCCCCAGACACAAGACTGGTTGGATGTCTAGTACTGAGCTCAACAATGTTCCAGCTATATGGCGCCGGTCTGTAAATAATCTTGTCTTGACCAGACAATCCAGTGATCAACAGCATGAGCATTGACCTATGCAACTGGGATGTTATGACATGTGTCAACCAAGTCAGCAAGCCTTACCACCCGATCCTCTAATGACAAGCATGGGTTGATGAAGACCAATTCTAACCTAGATCTTCAGGGATCTTTGACATGAGAAATGAATGCTTAAATTACTACAGTATTTCACACACAAATGAAGAGTCATTTTACTTTTCAAAGGACTTGACCTAAGTTCCATTGCCATTTAAAGCACTTAGTGATACTAGTGCTCCTAAGACAGGATTTGTGTCCATTTGGTGAAGGTATATATTTTAGACATAGCAGCGTCAAAGACCCATTACTTCATCACTCAGTGCAGGTCATTGCATCCAATGGCAGCTTTTTCTGGGAGAAATGTAATTAACAAGCTTTTGCTACTTTACTAGCATTCACTCTTCATGCTAAAGACCCGGGTTTGATTCCACACATTGATACAATGTGTGAAGCCAATTTTTGGTGTCCCCCGCCATGATATTGCTGGAATATTGCTAAAAGAAGATTAAAACATAACTCACTCACTCACTCACTACTTTATTAAGACATCAATTTTTGCCAGTATAATCCTAAAACTGAAATGCCTTGACAGTTGAAGTGATTTAACAGCCTCATCTTGTTAGGCCATACAGAGTTATTTCCCTTGTTTCACTTCCCCAAATACAGAGCTTGCTGAAGAAATAAGTTAACATAAAATGTCCTTTGACAAAAGAAAAGATTATAGTGAAAAGCTTAACATGTCTACAATATATTTTTACTAGAAATTCCACTATATGCTACATTTTTTACTTACCCCATTTTTTCCCCCAGATATATTATGTGTGAACTTAACATGAAGAGTCCATTTCCTCGAAAAATTCTTAGTTATACAAAAATCTCTATGTTCAGGTGAATGAGTTTAGTTTTACGCCGCACTCAGCAATATTCCAGCTATATGGCGGTCTATGTTAAGGTACTTAAAGACAGTCATAGCACTAAAATCACATTGACGAACTTTTCCCTTAGGCATACTAAATGGCCCTATCTCAGTGACACTGTGACAGGATTTGGTTTTACTGTCTGAGAATATTTCAGCTATATCACAACAGTGGGAAGAACTTGGTCCTGCTAGGGAAACCTGTGGTGGATAGTATGAGTAGCTAGTCTGACACACAATCACCATGGTCAGGCTCGCTGACTTGGTTGACAAACGTCATCGGTTCCCAATTGTGCAGATCGATGCTCATAATGTTGATCACTGGATTGTCTGGTTTGGACTCGATTATTTACAGAACGTCGCCATATAGCTGGAATATTGCTGAGTGCGGCGTAAAACTAAACTCACTCACTCACAATCACCAAGACACATAGCAACAATCCAGGCCTGGACCCGTGTGCCCAAAGCAATCTTAGCTCTGCAATATGCCAGCTATGTGGCAGCGGTTTGTAAATGATCGAGTCTGGAAACAGACAATCCAGTGATCAACAGCATGAGCATCATTCCATCAATGTCACAGTGGTGGACATCAGAAAAGGGCTTCACAGCTTGTGGAAAATCAAACCCTGGTCTTCAGCATAACGAGCAAACACTTTGACCACAAGGCTACCCCACCACTCCTTATATAATGACTGATCTGACACTGTTAAGTCCTAGAAAACGATAAACATCAAATATGCTAAGAGTAAGTATTAGAAAAAATAGGATCCCAAAGTATCCCAAATCAAACACATAAATTTCATTTACCTCAAAGTCATACAAATTAAGATCAATTTCAACCTTGACATCAACCATGAATCCTATGGAGGTTTTCAAACTCAAATGGAAAGTTTTCTCCAGAAACAACAAGGCAAGTAACTAACCAAATTTCCAATACTTTTGTAAATAATTTACAATAATCAACCAAACATAATACTCTAAACCCAAAAGCCAAAAACAGCCAGATAGTTAAGTCTTGCCACAGTCCATTGATAGCATAACAATAGAACAAAGCTATTGAACAATGGAAAGTGGCCTTCTATTGAAATGGTGAAACTCAGTACATCAGGTGATAGGTGTTAGTTCACAACCAAGCCATCAAACACTGAGCCTCTTATTACAGAGCTGAGAGGTCAACTTACACACGACAGAAACAAATTGATAGATTTCATGAAAAACAAAATTTGTTTTGGTCATTTGATGAGGATAAGACATGGTTAACCTTCTCCCAACTTGAAGCAATAAAAATTATTCATTCATCATTTGAAGTAAAGGATACAAATACAACGGTATCTCTCTTAAACATTGAAATCACAGTTTAATACATTAACATTCAAATTTATACAATCTAAGCAAAATTTAAAAACAAACACAGCATTTCTTAGGCAACTTTTTACATTGTTTTGAAAATACATCTTTTCATTGTATCCTTTTATATCTTTCTTAGGCCAGACCAATTTTATTTCTTGTTTTACGGATCCGCCTGTCGAATAAGAAAAAAAATTAAATTAATTTTCCTTGCTCAAAAAATAAAATGCTAATGTTTTTATTGGCCAAAACTGTAAACTTACAAGAAAACCTTTTTTAGAAGGTTTTTTTCCCCATGTACACTTCACAAATTGCCAACAGTAAAATACTATTAGTATTTAGAAGGAATATTACGTTGATTGGTGATTTTATTATTTTTTTTTTTCCCTCCTGCCTTTAGGTTTTCTTAGGACAAAAATCCGTAAAACAAGAAATAAATTTGGTCTGGCCTTAAGCTGTTTTACTTTTGAACACAGCTAGGGCCGGTGCCTTCATCAAAACAAGTTATAAACCACTCAAAAGAAGTAAACAACACCTAATTCTTTTATATTACCTACGACAGCTAAAGTATCGGGGTTCATAATTTTCATACGATGCCCTAGGGGAAAATATCACTTTGTCAGGGTGACGTGACGTCATGAACAATGCTATGACGTCACGTTTCTTCTGTGACGTTGCGTTCTACATGAGGTAACGGCGAGTTGCCAGCCTATGTTTGAAAGTAGATTTAGGTTTATTTTCCTCAATTTGACGACTTCGGTAATAAACAGAATATTATATTCGTGCTCATATCATTATATGTTTACAACACTCGTGTCTAAATGTCGGCATATCCCTCGCTTGTGCTCGGGAAATACCAACATTTAGGCACTCGTGTCGTAAACATAGTATAGAATAGAATAGAATAATACTTTAATGCCTTTTCAGGTATTTGTTTTACATCAGCAGAGCTACTGACACATTAGAGAGATACCAAACATATTTACATTAATTCTTTGATTTAGGTATCTTCACATTTGTTAAAGAGAGATATGGTACTTGGAATAAAGGATGTACGGGCTCTCTTAGTTTTCACAATTGGAACTTTGTAGCAGCGGCCTGAAGGGAGGAGGTTGTATTCCGAATTTAAGTAGTGAGTACGGTCAGATATGATTTTGACAGCTTGATTCACGATTTGCCGCTCATATATTTATGATAAACATTCAAATCTGACTCCAGCGATTTTACTTGCAGTGTTAACAATTTTGTCTATTTGAGATTTGAGATGAACTGAAAGAGGCCCGTACCAACAATGGAAGGAAAATGTTAAAATACTCTGAATAAATGCTACATAAAAAGATGACATCACAGATGGGTTAACATTAAAAGATCTCAGTTTACGCATGTGATGAAAATGTTGTTGACACTTTTTGTATAGGGCTTCAGTGTTAGAGTTCCAGTTCAGCTTAGAGTCAATGAAGGTTCCCAGATACTTATACTCCGACACTGTCTCAACACATTCACCGTTGATTATCACTGGAAGCATTTCTGTGGGTATACTCCGAAAGTCAATTATCAGTTCCTTTGTTTTTGTGACATTTAAGAGTAAGTATGACATGGGCACTCATATAAAATCCTCTATATATTATTCTAGTTATTACTGTGACTCATTCACGGAGTAACATTTGTAATGTCAAAGAAGAGTACCATAATAATCACTTACTCTGAGGAGAGATTCAGCAAGGTTCTATGCCACTTTTTAACAATATTCCAGCAATATCACGGCAGGGGACACAATACATGGGCTTCACACATTGTACCCATGTGGGGAATTGAACCTGGGTCTTCAGCATGACAGTTGAATGCTTTAACCACTAGGCTACCCAACCGCCCTGACTGTGTGTCATTCGCTCAACCCATAGAATGATGAGCGAATGCATAAACTACGAGGCTAACCCGACCGCCCTAACTCAGTGACAGATAAAAACATTTTCATCTCTGCTGCATATTTCAAAGCAAATACATCCTAACTATTACTTTACATTCGAGCAGATCTGGGTTAAAATTGGTCTTCAACAACCCATGCTTGTCGTACGAAGTGGTCTGATGGTCAGGCTCGCTGTCTTGGTTGACACATGTCATTGTATACAAATTGTGTAGATTGATGCCTATGATGTTAATCACAAGGTTGTCTGGTCCAGACTTGATTATTTTAAGACTGCTGCCGTGTAGCTGGAATATTGAGACTTGGTTGACACACGTCATCGTATCCAAATTGTGTAGATTGATGCTCATGCTGTCAATCACTGGATTGTCTGATGCAGATTCTATTATTTACAGACTGCTGCCATATAACTGAAAACTGCTGAGTGTGTCACTGAACAACAAACAAACAAACAAACAAACAAACAAACAAATAATGCTTAAGTCTACTGATTCCTTTTCTAAAACTTTCTACAATCACAGTGTTTCCAATAACTATCCATTGAATATTTTTGTGACCTCAGCTCCCTTGGAAGTATACTCACAAGTGTTTCATTCTCTGTGCGGAGAAGAGTGATGCGTCTCTCCAACCTCTGTATCTGCCCTTGTAACTCTGTCACTTTCTTCTGTAATGACTTTTCCTTTTCTCGCTCTTCTCGTTTTGTCTGAAATCATGATTGTCAGAATCTTTACCTCTGTTGATTTATGACAGAAAAAGCAAAAATAGAAGGATTAAATCAATTAACTCGCTGAACCTCCATCTGTGTTAAACATCTGAAAAAAGATAGAGATAGTGTTCATCATATTCCTAGTCTGTGCTACAAGTGGGATGTAAAATTGTAAAAACATTTAAATGATAATAAAAATTCAATGCATATTTTAATCATAATCATCACTGTTATTCATCAGCAGGTTCATCATTAGCAATAGTGATCCTTTTCAGCTTTTCCTTAAAAATTAATAAAAAATTGCTTATGTTAATTTGTTAGTATTTACAAATATTTAGAATATTATGTCATAATAATATCCAACCCACAATAACTTTCAATTTCTGATTTAAACATTTTAACAAAACAATTCAGAAAGGATTTAAAAAACATAACACCAATGAATAAGAATATTCTACAAGAGTCATGTTCCTAATTTTTCAGATGTTGACATCACTAAATTCCCTCCCTTTATGTGTTGCACTTCTAAATGCCATTCAAGGAGTTCATGATTAATTACATGCAAATTCAACAAAAAAGCACCAATAAATCCATAAAATATATTAAAACTGAAATTAAAACTTAAAAAAATATTATTCAGAACTCAGCACAAGTAAAAGAACACCATAATATTATTAGGAGACTGTGTGTGGCAATACACCATTAAACAGATTAACTTGGTTATACACGGAAACTCACTCAAAACGACTAATCTTCTTTTAACTTGAAAAGAATGGCAAAGAATACAGTTTTGCCAGTAAATGTCAAACTACTTCTCATTTCAACTTGTAAAACCACATTATTCAATTTGATGATGTCATACTTTATATGACTACAGTGAGTGAGTGAGGTAAGTTTTACGTCACTTTTAGCAATATTCCAGCAATATCACGTTGGGGGACACCAGAAATGGACTTCACACATTGTACCCATGTGGGGAATCAAACCTGGGTCTACAGCATGACAAGCGAACGCTTTAACCACTAGGCTACCCCACCTCCCCTATATGACTATAGATATGCTGATTTCATAGATAAATTGAATATCAATTTCATCCTCAAAATCTTGAGGTAAATGGTAGATTAGAATAATTATCCTGTTCCTGAATACCCGGAACAGCTTAACAGAGGTACAGATAAGCCATGATTCATGTGAAATTACGCAATTGTTTTTGGGAAAACTCAATTCCTATTAAGTCTATTGCGTACAAGTACGCTTTAGATTTTTTGTAAATACTCAATAAATGTGATCTTACATGCGTACACACAAAAATGTCAAATCATAGCTTGGGTACCGGTGGATAGATAAAATAACTGAGGTATATTGAGAGGTTCTATTTCAGGACATGAACGTGACAACTTGCAGTCTTTCTTATCATTTTTCATATTACAGAAGAAACATAAATAACAAACACTAACATTTAAACTTTATTATATTTTTAAAATTAATGGAAAATGGCAAAATGCCCAATTGAGTTTGCGTGAGGTGGGTATAATTTATTAGGTTACTCAAAGGAAAATGGGGATACCCAATTGAGATGAACACAAGTGAGTACATAACTCAATGACCCAAAAAGTTATCTGTAGCTCTGGCTTAATTTCATTTTTGTAGTCATTTTTCCAAATATTAAAAAAATTCTAAAATGTAAGTTCAAAGTATTGTAGTTTATGAAAAGATCTCGTATTGTTTAGTTTCTTTTGAATAGCATGAGAATAAAAACATAATGATAATTGATAAAGTGTACACAAGTAACATTGATGGATAATAGCCATTCCTAATCAATACAAACAGTTCAAACATTGTAATACAATCATGACAATCGCAGAAATTCCTATCACGCATATTGTACACTCGTTATGAAATGAAAAGAAACTGTAATCAATTTTGCAGGCCACTGCACAAATCTACTCAACCTGATTTTATTCATCTTCTGATCACTGAAGCATAAATATTTTTTTTTACTTTCAAATCAAAATTATGGGAAAACGCTTCTGTTGCTGTCAATACAACGAAACCAAACAAATATCACCGGTAACTCATATGGACCCAGTGGAATTTACGACTTAGGTCTAATGGCGTAACTGTCGTCATTAACATCCAAGCTTTTGAGGAGCGGCACCTGTTGTTGGTACTGATGCCGGCAACGTCCTCCAATGGCAGTTTCATGAGCATGGTTTGAACAAGCTGAATGGTTGAGATCAATATTTGACATAAATATATACAAGTTATGTCTCAATAGTACATATCAGGCGACTGCTTATGACACAGAACGTCAAGATACACATTCTACTTTCGTCTTGTCACGATCAGTTATTGTTATTGTGAATTCATGTTATTACAACTCTCTCGTCTCATTCTTAGGTTAATAACACATGATAAACATAAGACTGTTTACTTTCAGATCTGTTATTTAGAGGCCAATATTCAGTTCCAAGAAGGGAAATGTCAGGAAAACAATCCAAAATTCTGAATTGATAAAATTGGATTTGTACTGGTGTCTTGTATTTTGCCGATGACAAGGACAGTAGAACTAAAAGACTATAAAGTCTGTCTCAATATAATTGCATTGAAGGAATTGCTAAAATGTATTATTAATATTTTGCCAATGAACAAAAGAATATTTGTTTAAAAATCCAATTGAACAACTTTTCCACTTTACCTACCAATGGCAGTTTGGTTGCAATTCTAATAAATCCCTGGTTTAGTGGAGTTAGCGAGTATTTTTTGTTTTCTACACGTTTAGCATGGCTCAAATATATTAATAATATTTCTCAAATGAACCACTGACTGACTGACTGAGTTTGGTTTTACGCCGCTTTTAGCAATATCTCCAGCAATATCACGGTGGGGCCCCCGCAAATGGGCTTCAATTTGTACTAATGTGGGGATTCCAACCTCGGTCTTCGCGACGTGAGCTTACCCACTGAGGTCAAATGAACCAAAAATCTACAAAAATAAATGCCAATTAAACTAATTTTGTGGGTCAAATAGGTTTGTGAATAAATGCCTGGTTTATAGTTTGTGAATATTGTTTTATACACGTTTAGCAATATTGTAATATGTTTGAGTGGAGGGAGCCAGAAATATGAGAATCAAACAGAGGCCTGGATCATCAAACACTTTACCCACTTGGCTACCAAGGTCACCTGTACTGGTTACTGACTGACTGACTGACTGAGTTTGGTTTTACGCCGCTTTTAGCAATATTCCAGCAACATCACGGCGGGGGACACGAAGAATGGGCTTCACATATTGTACCCATGTGGGGATTCGAACCCGGGTCTTCGGGGGCGTGACGAGCCAACGCTTTAACCACGAGGCAACCCCACCGCCCGTACTTTGGTTACTGCTAAGGCCTTGTTTCACAGTTCATTTGTTATTTCACATGTCAGGATTGAATAACAGTTGACAATTCAAACTGGATTTCAAGAAGAAGTGATGAAAAGTGAAGTGATGGGAGGAGAAGTGATGGGGAGACCAGAAATGGGCTTCACACATTGTACCCACGTGGGGAATTGAACCCGGATCTTCGGCGTGAGGAACAAATGCTTTAACATCTAGGCTACCTCACCACTCCTAAATGGGATGTGAAGTAAGGTGAGGTGAAATGGGGCTGAACGGGGATTTACAGGACGTGAATTCCCAAGGCCCTATACTCAAAAAGATTGACAATGGACGACAACAAAATGTATTAGCGCGTCCACAGGGACTCTAAAAAAGTCTAAATACTTGCTGTAAAAATTCCAATCAAGTGACAATAAGTTATCGCTGAGTGTGCTAGTAGCTGGGTTATGGTATTATTTGCAATTTAATTACTATAACACTTAATGTGATGATCATGATACACAATACAATAACAATATTAATAATAATATATAAGTGTCTGGGACCCCCATCTTGTTGTCTAGGACCCCTGAAAATTAAGAGTATGAGTCCCAGGGACCCTCAAATACAGGACTCCATGTAAATCCCTGGGCTGAACGTTACATATAAGATGATTGCACTTGATGATTGATGACATTGATGATGATTATGATGATGATGATGATGATGAGAATTTGATCTTTACACCACTTTTAGCAACATTCAAGCAACATCACAGCAGGGGACACCAGAAATGGGCTTCACACATTGTACACATGTGGGGAATCAAACCAGGTTTTCCTGACAAGCGGACACTTTAACCACTTGACTACCCCTGCCCCTGTTGCACCTGTGCTGCGACTTGCCTGAATGTGTGTAGTGCTGCCTGTACCAGTCAGGGCTAACTATGATTCAACTGTTCTTGCCCATGATTCCATATTAAACCCTCCATCACGATTTACCCTCAGTCATGGGAAAAATATCGAGTATTCTTTAAGGTATTCAATATTCGTTACAGATGGCATAATTACATATGTTATACATTTATTCATCTTTAAAAAATAATTCAGGTATGAAATACACACACTGATGCATCATCCTAAAATCATTATTTTGCAATATGTTGCATGTGGGTATTTGATTAGTTGCATTACAGTGTTCAAGGTATAAAAACATTCAATATTCCAACTATATGGCAGTAAATAGTTGAGTCTGGTCCAGACAATCCAGTGATCAACAGCATGAGCATCAACTACACAATCCCTTCTGAATGATTTGGTTGGTTTGTTGTTTAACGCCGCACTCAGCAATATTCCAGTTATATGGCGGCGGTCTGTAAATAAGCAAGGCTGGACCAGACAATCTAGTGATCAACGCCATGAGTGAGTTTTTATTTTATGCTTTTAGCAATATTCCAGCAACATCACGCATGGGGGGACACCAGAAATGGGCTTCACACATTGTACCCTAGTGTGGGACAGTCCCCAGAACCACATTATTTTCCCTACTGAAGCCTCTGCAGTGCAAAGCCCTAAATGCTTTTTCCTCATGGTCCACTAGGTCTCCCTACCCTTTTCAATATAAATGGGCTTTTT